GTCACATCTGGGGCAGGCAACCCAAACCCACCATTTTCTCTTAAATGGAATAATAAGAGTTAAGGATGGATAAGGAAGGTAGACAAATTTGAAAGGTAGGATTTAAAAAAAAAAAAAAAAGGAGACTTGAGCTCATTGAATCCTATTAGATTTGTACCTTGTTTTCATATAAAGCACATTGTAAATAGAGTAGATATGACCTTCCCATTGGACAGCTCAGGAAACTGAGCCTCAGAGAGGTTACTTCCAAGATCACACAGCTGGTAGGTTCTAGGATCAGGGCTCTGACTACTTGATACTTCTAATTCCAGATTTTCTTTCAACTATATCTGGATCCCTCCTATAACTAACATGTTCACGTCTCTTGGCGAAGCCTATTACCTTCACACTAAAATATTCTTGACAAGACTGGTTATTCACTGTCATGGAGGTAATAGCTCCTATCTTCTGAGCACTCTTGGTGCTTTATTCAGTTCTTGGTCCTTCACCACACTTTGGAGGAGGGTTGCTCCCTCATTCCAGGAAATCCATATACAGATGTTGTGCTTCCTCCATCCAATTTAGGGCAGAGAAATGCAAAACATTCTGCAACTAGCTGGTTTGCAACAATGAGGTAGAAGTTGAAAGCATTTGAGCCAAAGGTTGTCACAGGGGAAGTAGAATTAACACCAGAGCTTCATTGGCTCTTGAGACATAAGCCCTCTTTTTGGCAAGAGAAAGGCCTTGGTGAGGCAGAGAATATACTATTTATAGAGAAAACAACCCATTGTTCTCTGCCCCCAGCCACAAACAATCCTTGGAGAGAGAGGCAGGGTTTTTTCTCTAGAATGAAAAATGTGTTTTCCTCCTTATGTTCAGGAATCTAGGTCAGCAGATTATTATTATTTTTTAAGCTAAATACGTAAAAGGACCTGATTCCAAAATTGCCAGGGGAGAGTTAACACAATGCAGTGTAGTAAGGTACATTCTCACAGAAGCTGTTAAGTGCCTCCTGGTTAGCAAAGGCAGACTCTGAGTCAGCTTCCTGGGTTCAAATCCTAGCTGGTTAAGAACACATCTGGGGGCCTCCCCGGTGGCGCAGCGGTTGAGCGCTGGGTTGCGAAGCTGCCTGCGGCCTCTGTGGCGCCGGTTCGATCCCCAGCTGCTTCCCGGCCACCGGAGGAGGGTCCTGCATGGCGCGCAGACCTCTCCGGCCGCCCGCTGCTCCCCTCAGCAGTGTACTTCGGTCCTTCTGCCTGCTCTGCTTCCCGCTCTGGCTCTGGTGAATTCTCTCACCCTCCCGCGCTTCTGACTGTACCCAGTGCATGTATAAACAAACAAACAAATAAAGAAAGAAAGAAAACATGCCTCTATAAAAAATTAAAAAAAAAAAAAAAGAACACATCTGGTTAAGAACACATAGTAACAGTACCTCTTTGGGTTATTGTGAAGGCCTGCCCATATGATATGAAAAGCCCTTAGCATTTGTATTAAGATTAATATTGTCAACAGTATACTCATTTGAGCTTTTTCAAACTCAGCATGCAGAGATGTCTCAGCTAGCTCTTGAATCATACATATATATGTATGTATGTTTTTTAAAGATTTATGTATTTATTTATACAAGCACTGGGTACAGTCAGAAGCGCGGGAGGGTGAGAGAATTCACCAGAGCCAGAGCAGGGAGCAGAACAGGCAGACGGACGAAGTACACTGCTGAGGGGAGCAGCGGGCGGCAGGAGAGGTCTGCATGCCATATGGGACCCTCGCCCTGTGGCCGGGAATTGAACCGGCGCTGCAGAGGCTGCGGGCAGCCTTACAACCCAGCGCTCAACTGCTGCGCCACTGGGGAGGCCCTCTGAATCACATATTTTTTGTATTTGCTTTGAATTTCATACTTGTGCTGCCCCTCATGATCCATTTAATCAAGAAAGTTCATGCTAGAGATGATGAAGGAAGGTTCTGGAATTTTTGGCAGCTTTGGCTTCTTGTATATCACCCACCTGTCCTATTCCTTTTCTCTTCTTGGGAAAACTTTCCTTTCTAGTCTGTGGCGCACCCAACTGTGTTTCCCATGATACCAGTTACCTCTTTTTCCCTCTATTTCGCACAGGTTTCTGAGTGGCCCAGAGGCCACCTAGTCCCAGATGCTCCTTACCAGCCTAAATGCCCACTTTTGTTCTCCTCATCTAAGTTTACCCACCTTTGGGCTGTCCAGAGTGTTTCCTGAGAGTTGCTGGGTTTTGGTAATTTGCAAGTTATATATTGGTCAGAGCCAGCTCTTTCAGTATCGCATTCTATGTACTCACAGACTGTGCGCAATGCTTTTGACTTATTTTCTTCATATTACAATAATATTTAATCATAACAGTGGCCTGTGCCAATACTCCCCACTCCTCACTTCTCTGCACAGGAGTCATGTACCCATACAGTCAGTAAGCCATCCCTGCGCCACCCTTTTTGTTTATTCCACATTGTAAGCTTATCCTAAGCCTGAGTTTCCTTATTTATAAATGTTGTTAAGGAAGAGGCTGGAAGGGATGATTTTCCATAGTTCCTTCCAACTCTGAAGGTCTGTATCTCATTAGTAAATACAAGTAGTCCTTTGCCCTGACCCTGTAACCTGATGTTCCCCAAAGGCTTCAGTCTGCACACCCAGCCTACCTGGCTGTGCCCTGCCCTGTGAGCTTGCCCCTCCTTGGACCTCGCCCTTTGTCCTGCCAGCTGCCTCTTTTCTTGGCACAATGGTGGGGATTTCTCCCTGTCTGGGCTAGGCCTGTGTGTGCTAATTCTGTCCTCTGTGAAGACAAATATGGTTCTCTGGAATGTATGGTATACCAGCAAACTGGGGGCTGGGCACCCTCCAACCTCCAGAAAATGGGCAGTACTAATGCAACAGTTGGCTTTGAGCCTCTAGGATGAGCCAATCTTAGAACCTATCATCTGTCCCCAAGGCACAAGGGAAGATTTATTACCTACTCTAAAAGATTTATCTCACTTGGTATGTAGTTTGTTTTCTTTTTTATGCCTAGCCCACAAAGATAACTACAGTTCAATTTGTATGTTTACTTTAGGCTTTATTATGACCAGGGCTCATAGAATTGTTATAGAGGTTGATAGGAAGATTTAGTGGAGCACAGTTCAACAAATGTGCTATTGCCACATAAAATGTCATGCCCTTGGGTGTAGAATCTGTTAAAAATACTTGGAAAGTATAGTCAAATACCTGGCCAAATTCCACATTTTCAATCAAATTCTCCACTTCTGAGGCATTGAAACCTCCTCCATGGGTTCCTGGGTCATCCAGCTGCTAATTTTGGTCCTGGAAGCCTGGCTGGTTTGAAAAGGGGTGGGCAAGAGTGCCCTTGGCCACATATCACTGGTAAACAAAAAAGGACCTAGTAACAATTCAGGACTAGACCTTCTGTGCTTAGGGAGGAAATGACTCTAGTGTACTTCCTTAGTTGGAGAATGTAGCTAAGACATTCACAAAAGGACAAGGACTATGTGATTCCACTCAGATGAGATACTTAGAATTGTCAAACTCATAGGGGCAGAAGGTAGAAAGGTGGTGGCCAGGCAATGAGAGTGGGTTTAGGGGACAGGGAATTAGTGTTTAATGGGGACAGAGTTTCAGTGTGGGAAGATGAAAAGAGTTCTGTGGATGGAGGGTGGTGATGGTTGCCCAACAATGTGAATGTACGAATGTCACTCAATTGTACACTTAATTTTGGGGAAGATGGTAAATTTATGTTATGTCTATTTTATCACATTAAAAAAAATCCAGGTGTGACCTGGATAACTGAGGAGAAGGTCCTTAGCAATGTGGTGGTGAAGAAAATATTCAAAGGTGGAGATTCTGAGAAGGATGAAAGTTGGGGTGAATTGGGGCTATGAACTGAGGACTTCAGTCTTCCATGAATGAGAGCCATGCCTGGAGGCCAGTGAAAGGCAGCTGGATAAGGTGGTAGTTTGGCTCTGTGAACATCAGGGGAACAGGTTTGATAAGAGGGTTGGGGGTGGTGGCTGCCTATATAATGCAATGCTGAGTTGGGAAGGATGACTTCTACCCCATATGGTCCAGAGGTATTTAGGGGATGAGAGAAGAAATAATCCCAGTGAAAGACTGTGGGAGAAATAGTGTCTTTGGGAAAGTTCCATTTTCAGCATAGACAAAGAGCCAGATGAAACTGTCCAAGAAGAGACTGAGAATATTGGGACTTCCCAGGGTGCAGCTGGGGGAAAAGGGTGGGTTGTTGTGGAGCCCTTAGTTTGAGAGGCAATTCAAGTTTAAGAACTGTCAACCCCAATTCTTTGGTGCTGAAGTGTTGATCCAGGGGAGCTGTGTTGTGATGAGATGTGTTATAGTCCCTGGAAGTAAGATCAGCACTCAGGTGTAGTGGTGTCACTGGTGAGCTCTGCTTCGAGGCTTGGCAGTGGAGTGGATTTAGAAGTTGACAATTTCTGTGGTCCCAAAAGACTAGAGGTGGACCCCACAGAGGCACCATTCTCCAGTCCCATGATCTGGCCAGATATCTCCACTTGCCGTGGCACCTTTACCCAATAAGCTCAGACCTGAACTTCGACCCATCGTAGTTCCCCAAGGAGTGAAACCAGCAGTCTATTTACCAGCCCTGACTTAGGGCAACACACACATTTATGGATGTAGGGGCAGAGGGGAAATTTACTCCTACCCCTCTGGTTCTTCTCAGGCTGGTAGAGCAGTCAAATTAATGTCATTATCAGGCTTAATAACAGGTTAGTAGGAAAAAAGAACAAATTTAATAACAGAGGTATGGGGAGTCTATATGGATGTAGATTTTAAAGTAAATGGGATGAAACGAGCATATATATTCTGAAGTAAAGAATGGAATAGAGGCCTGGGCTTCAAGGAGAGAGATACAGAAGGAGGAGAGGGTGACTCATGACAAAGGCCAGAGACTCTGTAACTAGGTGTTTGCCCTGCCATATAGATAGTTTTCTCTATTTCTGATAAAAATCCTAATTCTGGGTAATACCCTCAATTTTGATTCTTTTAGGTAGGGAGCAGTAAAGTTTTTTGTGAATGGCAGGGCCTTGAGTGACCTCAACTTGAAATAATCCACATACCAACTGACGATCTTAAGGAGGGAGGACTTTTCTGGACAGCTTGGGGAAGCCTTTCCTTCATGGATGAGGAAACTCGGACTTAAAGAAGACAAGTGAGTTTCCCAGATCATGCTGGGATGGAAATCCAGGTCTCCTGTTTTCCAGGCCTCTGTGGAATGCTAGCTCTGGACTAGCATGGGGCATGGAGAGCTGAACATACCCAGAAAGCTGCCCCAAAGGATTAGCAGTAGAAAAGGTAGGGAAAAAAATTCACAAGAGAAGAAAGAAGGAAGGAACGAGTTGTGAGGAAAGAAAGAGAAGTGAGAAACCAGCAGAAACCTAGGCTGGCCCAGTGCCCTTTAAACAGGCCCTTGAGGCTGTGGAACAGGTCAGGCAGGGTGGCCACTTCCCCTCCCCCTCCCCAGAAAAATCAAGGCTCTGGGTGGGAGGACTGGCTCAGCTTCCAGCATTATGTCATTCAGAAAAAGGGATGAAAAGAAAAGCAACCCTCTCTGCTGATGGAGAATATGCAGAGGATAGTCCGGGCTGGCAGAAACCAGCTCCTTCCTCTACTGGCTGGAGATCTAAAACCAGGAAATGAAATACAAGGACACCTCTCAGGACAGGGTCACTTAGGAAATTTTACATTGCTGAAAAGGGCTGCTTTTAGGCAATCATGATATTTGTATTTTATGCAGGATTAAAAATAACAGGACTGCATGTGAGATAGAATTTTAGACTTCCAGGCAAGCCCTCCAACTCTGAATTTCTTGATTTTGAAAGTGTCCTGGTCAGTGACAAGACATGCCCTTTGGTTTATCAGGTTTAATACAGATCCTGCAGATCTCACCCCAGAGGTGGAGAGCCCTGGGGAGTGCCAGGTCTTGGAGTTACCCAGCCCCTGAAGTCAGGAGTTAGGGGAACCCCAGCCCCTCCCCCACTCTCACTCTATTAGTTTTCCGAACCCATTTGAGTATATCTGAAGAAGTACTAGTGAAAAACTAGAAACTTTCCAGAATACAGAAGTAGGAATCCAGATACCCTGGATTCTTTGGTGTCCATCTGGCAAATACTCAGTCCAGTGTGTCTCCCCGTCCAACGGCAGTGCCTAAGTGCTGGATACTTCTCGTCTCACCCTTGTGCTATGGACTGAATAGTCTCCCTGTCCACAATTTACATGTTGGAATCCTAACTCAGAGTACTTCAGAATATTTGGAAATCGGGTCTTTACAAAGATGATCAAGTTAAAATGAGGTCATTAGGGTGGGCCCTAATTCAATATGACTCGTCCTTATAAGAGGAGAGTAGCACACAGGTATGGACTTGTGGAGACCTCGGGGGAGACAGTCATCTTCAAGCCAAGGTCAGAGACCTCAGAAAGCACCAACCCTACAGACACCTTGATCTAGCACTTCTAGCCCCCAGAATTATTTAAACAAACCAGTCGATGATATTGTGAATGGTGCCACAGTAAACTAATCCACCATGTCTAGGAGCACCTTGTTACGTGGGCAGAGGGGGCTATTTCTCAGCACATACCCTTCACTAGGAAGTACAGGGCAGGATGTGTTGCCCAGGAGCTCTAAGTAGAAGACAAATTAGTTCCTGACCCTCCTGATCGAAACTGAAGCCCCACCTGAGCCCTGTCTCCAGGAACGTGCTAGTAGGTAAATTGGAAAAGGTTAGGGTCAGAAACATGTGTCCTGTCTTAACTGCCTCGAGTCCAGTTCTATGAATTGGGAAGGGAGTGGTTGCCCTGTCACTGAAGTCCTTACATTTTGGATCTTTTTAAAAAAGGGAAAAACAAAATTAGCCACATAAAGCAACACAGACGTTTTACAACAGAGCTCAGAAATCTCCTGTCCTTTCCAGAGCAGCCACAGACACACGTGACCTTCAGCAGAGCCTATGGGGGGATGAGTGACTCAGGTTAAGAATAGAAGTTTCGGGGGTGGACCTGATGAGGGGCCTGAGTCTGTGGGGAGAAATCCTGGGTAGGCTGTCCTAAATCTGAGTAATCTAGCTGCCTTGTCACGGCATTTGGCTGCCGTCCCAGCTCCCAGCGGAGCAATGACTAACTGAATTTCCACGGGGAGGGAGGAAACGATTAAGATCTTGCGGCAGCTGCAATCATCTAGGCGTGGTTCTGTTGTTGGACTTAGGCTCACGGATCCTGGGCCAAGGAGCAGAGGAAGGCAGCTCAGGCAGCAGAGCCTTCCAGATGGCTGAGCTGGAGCTGATGGTTCCGGGGCCGCTGCCCGGTATCAGCACGCACCCTCTGGACACTCTTAACCCAGCCTCTGACTCAGCCGACGCAGCAGAAGAGAACATGGGCTCCCTGGGGAGCCCCCAGGGGGAGATCGGAGGACAGGGCAGTGACTCTGCGGAGCAGGGGGTTCCTGGTGGCGAGGGACAGGAGGAGATTCTGTGTGACTTCTGTCTCGGGGCAGGCAGGGTGAAGGCGGTGAAGTCCTGCCTGACCTGCATGGTGAATTACTGTGAGGAGCACCTACGGCCGCACCAGGAGAACAGCAAACTGCACAGCCACCAGCTGACCGAGCCGGTGAGGGACCGGGACCTGCGTACTTGCCTGACCCACCACAGCCCGCTGGTCACCTTCTGCAACTCTGACCAGCAGTGCATCTGCCAGGAGTGTGCCCAGGGTGAGCACAAGGGCCACGCCTTGGCCTCCCTGGATGCTGCCCGCAGAGACAAGGAGGTAAGTGCTGGGGTACACCAGGGAAGGGGAGGCAGAGAGAAGGTGTGCCTAGTGGAGGCCAGGTCATCACTGCGGCTCCTGCAAGTTCGGACTTTGCTTCTGAGCTCTGGGTTCACCTAGAAAGGACGTTAGCCTTTACTCGGCTGTTTGTCAGGTGTGAATATCTGTTGCTCTTAGCTTTGGAAACTGAAGTAGGTCACTCTGTTCCCATCTCCACCCCCCTGCCCCTGTCCTTCCTCTACCTGTGTCTGTCTCTCATGTTTGCTGATTTCCTGCTATTTCTCACACAGCTTTTGGTGACTGGTGTGTGTCTGGGTGTGGGGCACAGGAATTGGGGGGCTTAGGGCAGTAATGTTTCCTGGGCTGGATCTGTGGGGCACACCCATCGGCAATCCATGAAATATAAACCTTGGTAGAAATTCAAGAGAAAAGAATCAAGCCTTCCCTCTAAATTCCTTTTCCCTTTACCACAAACGAAAGACTTGTAGAAAGTACCCTCTGGAGATACCGGTGTGAAACCCAAGCGTCTGAAAAGTGTTCAGATCACATTGAATTTGAAACTTACCTCCTCATTCAATGCCAAGGATGGCTGAAGTTGGGGAAAATAAAAGTTCCTCGTCAGGTAGTGCTCTCAGCAGAGACCAAGAGACACCACGCTTAGAACCTGTAACTTTATTCCCGTCAGATAAGGAACCAGTTTCTATGACGACCAGCTTTTCTGTGCCCTAAAGCTGAGAACCTAGAGAAGTTCTTGGGAGTGGATTTAGCAATCTTACAGGCTTCATTTCTCCTACTTTGATTTTCCCAGCATATTTATTTCTGAGAAGGGAAATGCAGTAGACTCGTCCATGTGTATTATATCCCCCCTCATGGTTGCTCCTACTTGCACAGCACTTGGCCGTGGGCACGCGTCAACCTCTCAGCAGGTGTTCCTGGGCAGCAAAGGAAGTTAGTTTCGGAAAAGGACAGTTTTATGTGCAGCGTCCCTCCTTCACGCCCTTTGTTACTGGGTGTTATTGGGACTGGTCTGGAAACTTGGAAAGTATTCCAGATGCTAATGAATCACCGTTTTCACTCTGGAATTCATTTGCCAACTGTTTCCAGTATCAGGAACTGTCCTGTTAGGGGAGCAGTTCACTGTCACCCCATTCCTTGTTTTCATAACCAGCCAGAGGCTCTGTATCAATAGATAGATACATTAAAGGAAGAAGCACCACATAATTGAGAAAAACAAGTTTGGATTCTTTTTCGTGAGCATTGCCAGATGCTAAATGCTTTCCATGGATTTTCTCATCCGGACCTTAAATAACTGTATGATGTGGCAACTCTTTTTTATCTCCACCACATTTGTGCATGTTCATGTAGCTGGCTAAATCACAGAGTGAGGAATGGAAGCTTGCAGAAAACCATCTGACTGGAGGAACCCAAGCAAGGAACCTCAAGATCACAGTATTATAAACTTACTTTTTTTTTTCCACCAAAAACTGGCTGCATGTACACTATAGATATTAAGGTAAAGTGTACTGTTTTCTCCTTTGGGTATATATCTGAATTTTATTTATTTAACTGGAAAAGCAGTACATGTACATATTGAAAAGCAGTGTCCACCAGATTACACAAGATTACGCTAGGAAGGACTGTCTCTCTGCTGTCCTGGATCCCCATGTCTCTCTCTTTAGAGATAAATCTACTCTTCCTTCTGTTTCCTTTCAGAAATGTTATATGTCTATTCCAGAATAGACATAATGTGAATCATAAATAATAGTGTAAACTGGAACGTTACAGAGATTCAAGGGAGTTGTAATTCTGAGCGGAAGGAGTTGTGTGGAGCAAGAGCAGAGCCCCCAAATCAGACATCTTACAAGAGAGCCTTGTAAGGTGAAATAGGGCCAAAGGCAGCTGGGTTAGGTCCCCAAGGGCAGTTTTGGGTGCTGAAAAGCAATCATATCCCAGATAATTGGTGGTGGTCCCCATTCACAACTTTTGCTTCCTGGTCTGCCTCAGAGAGTTCTGGTTCTTCCCATCCTGTGTCCCTATATTTTTCACTCAGAGTGCATTTAGTCTGTAAATGCAGCCACCTACTAGAAGCACCTCCAAATCTTAGGAGCCAATGGAACCCAAGAAACCAGTCCAGAAGATACCATACCTTGAGGTGGTTGCAGCCACCTTAGGATTATTTTGAAAGTGTTATTACACATAATGAAGGCTTTAGAAGCCCAGCATTCCCTTTAGCCACCCTGAACCTGCTGGAGTTTCTTGCTGAAGGTCACTTTGGATTGTGTTAAGGGCTAATTATTCAGGCAGGCAGATTGTGTACAGGAAACTGCAAATGGCAGGGTCAGCAATGTGGACACAAAAAGCAGCCGACATCCTGTATAGGGTCCCCAGAGCAACTGATTTTTCAGTTGCTAACTGAGCACCTTTGGAAGCTCTCAATGTCTCTAGCTTTGCTAGTAAACTAAAAACTGTTTGGATTTTGGGAGGTGGACATTCTTTGTTATTAGTTCTTTCCTGCTGGGCATCCTAATGGGGACCAGCTCTTCCTATTTGGGTTCTCAGTACTTCCCTTTCCCCCAGGCCAGCTTCTTGAGAACCCACTCACTTTCAAGAGCATCTGGTCTTCTCTGCTGGCTGCTAATTCTTCTCACCTCTGAACCGCAGGCTTGCTGTGGTGGCAATGAGACTCTGTGTGTGGGTGTAAGTCTGTGTGTTGGCACTTCTGTGAGTGCTTTCCTGTTTGTTCTGACAAGGTAAGAACCATTGGTTCTTTTGTTTTTCTTTAATTAGTGGCATAACTGCACTTTTAAAAAAAAGATTTATTTATTTATTTATTTATGCATATAAGAACTGGGGTACAGGCCAGAGGTGTGTGTGTGTGTGGGGGGGTTGTGAGAGGATTCATCACAGAGTGGAGAACAGAAGAGGCAGAGTGACTGAAATACACTGCTGAGGGGAGCAGCGGGCGAGACAGGAGAGGTCTTCTGTGCCATGTGGGTATTGCCTTAGCTGGCCGGGAATTGAACTCATGCTGCAGTGGCTGTGGATAGCTTCATAAGGTTGTGTCTTAACCCCTTGCACCACTAGGGAGACCCAGTACCATTGGTTCTTTCCTGTTCTTCCTCAAGCTTATCCAACATTATTATTATTATTTTTTAAGATTTATCTATCTATCTATCTATCTATCTATCTATCTATCTATCTATCTATCTATCTATCTATCTATCTATCTATTTATACAAGCACTGGGTATAGTCAGAAGTGCAGGAGGGTGAGAGAATTCACCAGAGCCAGAGCGGAGAGCAGAGGAGACAGAATGATGAGGTACACTGCTGAGGGGAGCAGCGGGCATGGCAGGAGAGGTCTGTGCGCCATGTGGGACCCTCGCCAGTGGCCAGGGATCGAATCCGCACTGCAGATGCTGCAGGCAGCTTCGCAACACAGCGTTCAACCGCTGCGCCACCAGGGAGGCTCTATCCAACATTATTGAGGGCTTCCTATGAGTTAAGTGTGAGGTTATGATCTTTATCCTCAGGGAGTGTGGACTCTAATCAGGAAGCCAAGGCATGCTCATGGCTCTCTGGGGTGTCAAAGGGCAGGGCAACCAAATACCACACCTTCCAAGGAGGGAGCCAACACTGGCAATAGGGTCAGGGCAGAGTTCTTGGAGGAGAGGCCTGAGTTGGCCCTGTTTAGATCTTGAAGTCCACTAATGACAGACCACTACTACAACCTCAGTGTTGGTTCCAGAAAGTGTGGGCCTGGATGCTGGGATGAACACAGCCCCCATGTAGAGCAGGAGTTAAATTTCTGATAACCGCAAGTATTTGTGCTTCTCTTGGGAGCAGTTATGCAGCAGTGGTCACAGCCTGTTTGCTGGAGCCAAAAGGCAGATGATTCAGAGCCACTCAGGAAAAGAATTTCTACTAGAGATTCTGAGGAATGCCTTGAACTCAGTATTATATAACTTGTAACTATGTCACTTTTTTTTTTTTTTTGGCTTAAACATTCCACAGGCTATATGTGTATTAAAAACAGGGAGCTGTCTTATTTTACTGGCCTAACTTATTTGATTGGTAGGTTCTGATCAATTGACTGAGGAAACAAGTCAAGGTCCAGGTAGACTCTGATGCTGCCAAATTGAAACACTGCAGAAGGGTCCACATTGTGTGGCAGAAATACAAAGGAACCACCACTGTCTGGAATTTTCTTTTCTTACTCCCTCTGCTGTTCCTATTTGTATCTCCAATCTTGCTACCAACTCTGGCTGCCACCTCTACCCTATGGATAGAAGTAAGAACAATCTGTTACATGCTCTAATGACTTTGCACCAGAGGAGACATTTAATGATTTGACAAAGATCATATAGCCAGCAAGTGGCAAGTCTTCAGACCCCAAATATTGAGCCGCTGGCACATTTGTCATCACTTTGCTGAAGTAGACAGAACTTTGTGCCCTTCAATGTAGGGCCATCCACACTCATGGGACCACACTCCTGCTTTTGTGCGGAGCCCATCCTGGCTGTGATGTGTGTGTGTGATTGCTACTCTGGGAAGCCCTGAAGCCAGCATCTGAGGCACCACATCATTTTCTAGCAACAGGAATAACTGGAGATGCTGGTCTCCCAAAAGGGCCCCACCTTTGAGGTAATTGGGACTGCCTTTCTTTGGGGTGACTCACTCAGAGTGATCCCCATTAGGTACTAAGGAGCCCTTTCCTCCTTTTATGGAAGTCTACAGACTGGGTTGAGTACCCTTACTGGATGCTCTCTGGGTGTCTTCCACGGCTTTGGCTCATGCTCGGGATGATGCTTTAACACAGTATTGTGCCATGTCTGTTGTTAGGTGTGTTCCGTTGTGCTTTCCACCACCTTTAAATAAACAGTTCGCGTTTCCCCCACTGCCCTGGAACAAGTCACTGTATAATACAGATAAGATTCCATGATCACCCCCAAATAGGCCAGACCATCTCTCCCCTTCCCTGCCACTTTCTCCCCTCACTCCTGGGCATGGTCTCAGGTCTCAGGGATGGAAGGTCACGAGGGCTCCCTCAGCTGCAAGGCAGAGTCCCAGCAGCTGAGTGAAAGTCACCTGCTTTCTGCAGAGTGTCCTGGTGAAGCAAGTCCCTGGCTTGCTCAGCTTCTGCCACTCTGGGGACCCTGGAACTGCCCCAGCCTTCAGCAGTGGAAAGGAGAGATCCTTCATTCATGCCCTTTTGAGTTCTATTCAAGCATAATGACTCATAGCTTCAGATGCAGATATAAGTTATTAAAAGCAGGACCTCCCCGGTGGCACAGGGGTTAAAGACAGTTCTATCAAGCTACCCCCAGTCACTGCAGCTTCCCCAACTGGCCAGGAGCAACCCACATGGCGCAACACTTTCTGTTTCCCACTCTGTCTCTGGTAAATCCTCTCAGACCCCGCCTGCCCCGCCCCCACCTCTGGCCTGTGCACCAGCTCTTGTATGCATAAATAAATAAAAAAATAAATCTTTTAAAAAAAGTTATTACCAGCAGTGAAAGCCTGCCTGCTTGCCTGCCTGCCTTCCTTCCTTCCTTCCTTCCTTCCTTGCTCCCTCCCTCCCTCCCTCCCTCCCTCCTCCCTCCCTCCTTCCCTCCCTCTGGTCTTCCCTCTTGCCACTGCAGGAGCAGGGAAGTGATAGAGCCTCTGAAGTCTGCAGGGACTTAGTTTTTATTCGCTGGCTCTCTTCTTGGCAGAAAGTGCTCAGGGCATCCCAGGAGTTAGAGGGAAGCTAAGCAGTGGGGTGAAAGCAGACAAATTCAGAGTTTTCAGGTAAGCATTTGCCTGGGCTGGAGGGTTCTCTCTGTCTACCACAGGAGTGAATAAGAACATTTGATAAGAAGTAGTCATGGTGGCAATAACACTAATAAGCATAATGACTATGGCAATGGCATCCTTGACATTGAGCACTTACAATGTGCTAACTACGAAGCAAAGTTCTTGTTAACACACATGATCTCATTCAAGCCTCACAATAACACTATGAATTAGGCACTTTACTCCAAGGTAGATGAAGAAATGGAAATCTGAAGAACTTGGTAGATTTTTCTGATGAGATCCCCACCACTGGCTCCAAGCCTGTGGTCCTTGTTCGGCTCTTCTGGAATTGGATGGCCTGGGCTCAACTCCAGTAATGAACTGTGTGACCTAGCATAGGCTCCTCCATGTCATGACCTATAAAATGGAGATAATGACACATACCTACTATGGGTATGGTAAGGATGATATAAGACAATTCATATCAATGCTTAAAATACTGACCAGCACAGCCCAAGGCATATACTCTTTGCATTTTAGCCAATTTGAATTGAGTCCAGCTCCAGGTGATGCTGGTTCACAACTGACCCTTTGTGCCTGTATTTGGGGGCAACCTGGGCAGACTTTGAAAGTTCATGGAAGAGAGGTGGAGAGTACTGCTGCTCTTGAGGACTTTCTGTGGGCACTGGGTTCCTTCCCTCTTTAACAGTTGTCCTTTCCTCTTCTTAGGCTGAGCTTCGGCGCACACGGTTAGAGCTGGAGCGGAAACTCACTCTGAATGAAAACGCCATTACCAGGCTCCAAGCCAACCACAAATCTGTTTTGGTAAGGCCGGTCTGGGTCCCCTCCTAGGGTTCAACATACCTGGCCACTGCTGTGGGCTCAGTTGGGCTCAGCTGGGGTTGTGGGACATGATGGGGCTCTGTACCCATCGGCTCCTTGGGGTTTCTCAACAAATGGGATGTAGCTGGCCAGCTACACCACGGGATGGCCTCACCTTGCTGTCAGGATTCGTTATGAAATGAGTTTAAGGTTCAAAACTGACAAACATTTTCTTTTTAATTGAGTAAAAGCGAGACTAGTCTTGTAAAAATAGCATTATTACTTTAAAATTTGCATATGATTTTTGACTAGGAGAAAAGGATGTAAGTGGGAATGGAGGTCAGTGTTAAGCTAGAATTTCAGGGGCTATATAAAATCTTGATTTTTTTGCATCATGGAAGGACATCCTGCATGTGAGTCTCACTAGCCCTTTGTCCTGGCAGGCAGAAAAAAATGGAGAACTGCTGGATTAGTGCATAATTCTTAACAAAGCCAGTGATATGCCAGGCTACTTAATTTTAATCTCTCTACTTTATGGCAACTTTCCATATATATACTCTTTTTTTTTTTAAATTTTTTTATTTATTTTTATTTATTTATTTATTTTTTTTTTTTTTAAAACTTTTATTTTTTTTTTATAGAGGCATGTTTTATTTATTTATTTGTTTGTTTGTTTGTTTGTTTTGTTTATACATGCACTGGGTACAGTCAGAAACGCGGGAGGGTGAGAGAATTCACCAGAGCCAGAGCGGGGAGCAGAGCAGGCAGAAGGACCGAAGTACACTGCTGAGGGGAGCAGCGGGCGGCAGGAGGGGTCTGCGCGCCATGTGGGACCCTCCCCCGGTGGCCAGGGAACAGCCGGGGATCGAACCGGCGCCGCAGAGGCCGTGGGCGGCTTCTCAACCCAGCACTCAACCGCTGCGCCACCGGGGAGGCCCTCCATATATATACTCTTAAGTGGACCCAGACAGTTCCACAGATGTTTCCATTAGTGGTATGTCAATAACCATCACTCAGAAGAGAATGCAGAACAATTGCTCTATGGCAGTGAGTCAATAGTATCATTTTTGCATACCAAGAATGATTCTATCCATCCATCCATCCACCCACCCAGCCACCCTGTCGCCTACCCACCCATCCATCCATCCAATCTAGATATATGTATAATATATATATTATATATATCCATTTAAACTTAATTTCTTCCCCCTTGATGTTTACAACTATTTATGACCATCTCTTTCTTACCCATGTAATCTTATGAAAAGAAGAAAAATAATGGCCCCATTAGCCTTATAAGCCTCCAGAGATTATTTATTTCCAGGTTTAAAATATTCTGGAGAACTTTGGGGCATCTTTCCTCTTCCAGCTTCACTTAGGTGCCCCAACTTTGAGGAAGTCTGTTGAGGTAATGGGGCAGCAATAAGAATATAGGGGCGGTTCTACAGCAGGTTCTCCAATAACTTTAAAAATTCCATGTTTTGTTCAATGTTGTTTTAATAATGGTGAGAAAACATAATTGATTCCCAGCTGGGGCTGCTAGGGCTGCTGTCTGTGTGAGTTCTCCCCATGCCTGTGTGGGTTTTCTGGTTTCCTTCCACACCCCACAGAGGTGCACATGAGGTTCACTGGCGTGTCTCAGTTGTCCCAGTTAGCGAGAATGTGGGTGTGTGTGTGAATGCAGCCTGTAGTTGGAGGGTGTCTTGTCCAGGGTTATGTCCTATCTGTGCCCGGATCTTCCAGGTTAGATTCCTGCCACCTGCCACCCTGGATTGGAAAAGAGGGTTGGAAAATGAATGAATGAATACAAATGATTGTTTATTTATTTATTTATTTATAGAGGCATGTTTTATTTATTTGTTTGTTTGTTTGTTTGTTTTGTTTATACTTGCACTGGGTACAGTCAGAAGCGCGGGAGGGTGAGAGAATTCACCAGAGCCAGAGCGGGGAGCAGAGCAGGCAGAAGGACCGAAGGACACTGCTGAGGGGAGCAGCGGGCGGCAGGAGAGGTCTGCACACCATGTGGGACCCTTCTCCGGTGGCCGGGGAGCAGCCGGGGATCGAACCGGCACCGCAGAGGCCGCGGGCAGCTTCGCAACCCAGCGCTCAACCCCTGCGCCACTGGGGAGGCCCACAAATGATTGTTTAATATTAGAAGTGTTTTGGGTCTTTATCTAGAAATTTGGCAATGTTTTGTGGCTAGAAATACACTATAGGAACTTAGCACTTGTTTATATTAATTAACCGATGTAAAATTGATTTTGTTGTATGTTGTTTGGCTTCCAGTTGCAGTTTCCAAGAACCTATCAAAGATGCTAAGTGAGATTTACTGTACATGTCATCCCTCCAGCACCCCTTCCAGTAAAGGCTCCCCTTGGTTTCCTCTACCCCCACCACCATTCTTACCTCTGCCAGACATCAAAGACTGACAGGCCTTCCTGAGGGCTGCATTCCTGATCCTGGCCTAGCAGGGTCTGCAGTCAAGCAGAGGTGCTCCCACTGCTTGGGATATCAGCAGGCCCCTATTATTGCCCCCCTTGCCCTCCCCATTCCATTCTGCACAGGTATGCTCATCTGCAGGCTCATCGGCACACACCCTGAACATTCCTGTCTGGTAGAGAAACCATATCTTAGATGTGCCTTTGCTGCTGATCAAAACATTGGACAGTTTCACCAGGCATAATAAATGCTGAGGAAGCTAATTCATACAACTGACTTTTATAAGAAGCCACATTATTAATTTGCCATAAGAATATAATAGTGAATATACTGAATATGTGCATTGCCCTAGTAGGAAAATCCATTTCAGAAACTTGAATAGCAGCCTCAGACTGTCAGAGTTGGAAGGGGTCTCAGAGATCAGAGCTCACTCTCTCATCAAATGGCCGAGGAGACTGTTAGTGATCCACAAATGAATGTTTACACCTTGGAGAGTAAATCCCAGGAACCTGGGGTTCATATGCTATTAAACGCTTTCTTTTACAATAGAAACCTGCTTCTTAATCTGCAGGTTTCTCAGGGTTACATTTCTGTATGTTAGGCTTTGATGAAGTTGGATACCTAACAGGTTCTTTGCTGCCCTCCACCCCGTCAGGTGTCTGTGTCAGAGGTGAAGGCGGTGGCGGAGGAGCAGTTTGGGGAACTCCTTGCTGCAATGAGGAAGGCCCAGGCCGATGTGCTGCTGTTCCTGGAGGAGAAGGAGGAAGCTGCTCTGAGCCAGGCCAACAGCATCAAGACCCACCTGGAGCATAGGAGTGCAGAGATGGAGAAGAACAAGCAGGAGCTGGAGAGGATTGCTGCCCTCAGCAACACTGTCCTGTTCCTGGAGGTACAGCTTGGTGGTGGGCCTAAGTGGGGGCGGTGTGTGGAAGCAGAGGCATCCATGCAACTAATACCAGGGAGCATCCCCATTCTGCTAGGCTTTTGATAAATGGGTAACTATGGAGACAGAGAGAAACAGGTCTTGATTTGGCAGAGTATAGGAGTATAGGAGGGGTAAGGGAGACTTCCCAGAGCAGGGAGACTGGAATCGGGTCATGCAAGATGAGTAATGTTAAGGAGAAGTATGTTCCAGGGAGGGAACAGCATGTGCAAAGCAGAGATGTTTGAGAAAACATAACTGATTTGGGGAACCAAAGCAGTTTTACAAGGTGGGGGTGGAGGATGCTGGGAACATAATGATGGGGGGTGAGGCTGACTCGTGTCTGGTTGTGAGAGAAATTTGTTCTTCATTATGAAATCACGGAAGCCAGTGGAGGACTTCAGACACCAGGCCAATGTACAGGTTTACAGTATACTGGTCAATTGTAAACCATGCCAACAGAGACTGAGCAGAGGCTGGACTGGCAGGGTTGAGACTGGGGACCTGTCACCTTCAGAGAGGACTGTGTGTGCTGGGTTGGTTGAGGAAGGCCTTTGAGAGCCTATGTGACTTTTCATTACAGTGTACTGTGTATTACACACTAAGCCACATGCCATTAGATATAGTCCTGTGAACATGTGATCTTAAGAAAGTGTTGACTGAGAAAAGATAGACTGTAATATAATCCAGAAAACACTGGTGGTGGGCATGGTGTGGCATATGTAGTTGTCTATGTGTGAAGCTGCATACCTAAAATGTATACAGTATTGTAAGCCAATGTTACCTCTATTTTTTTAAAAAAAAGGATGAAAGCAAGCATTTATTCAAGAATAAGGATCATGACCTGGGTCCACAACCAAGGGACAATGCCAGGGTGTTTTCCCTCAGGGTCAGGGTATAGGAGAATTTTAAAGGGCTGCAAGGAAATGGGGTCTGAGCTTAGGTCATTTGTTTGGAAACATTTGGAATAGCTGACAAGCTTCTTCATACAGAAGTCTGCAGTGAGGTTTTATGTAACAATCAGCAGATGGTCTCCTGTTTCTTTCCTAATGGTTGATAAATAGAGAATAAGGAGTTGCTGTTCTGTCCTGGTCACAGAGAAGGAGAAATCAGGGAGTGGGTGTTCTTTGTAGTTGCTGATAAGGAGTCAACAACTCACCTAGAATCTCAAGGTCTTAGTTAGAGGCAAGATGGAGTTTATTTGACTTAAAGTAGACTCCACAGAAGGAACTTGGGCTTGGGTGTATTTTCTGTCCTCCTGGATCTGTCACTAAATAAAGAGCTGTGTAATTTTTAGCAAGTCATTTAATCTCTAGGTTTTAGATTCCTTATTTATCAGACAATCACCTGAAAGTAAATAAATTCCAATGCTCTTTCAGCACTGATATCCCTGAGTGCAATGTTTTTCTTGATCACATTTTTAAAAAAGTTCACTTCTAGTTATAAAAAACATAAATGCTTGGGCCTCCCTTGTGGTGCAAGGGGTTAAGACGCAACCTGTGAAGCTATCTGCAGCCTCTGCAGCACGAATTCGATCCCCGGTAGGCAGGGAGCAACCCACATGGCGCAGCAGACCTCTCCTGACTTGCCTGCTGCTCCCCTCAGCAGTGTATTTCAGTCAATCTGCCTGTTCTGTTCCCCACTCTGTCTCTGGTGAATCCTCTCACCTTCCACACCTCTGGCCTGTACCCCAGCTCTTGGATGCATAAATAAATAGATCTTTAAAAAAAATGCTTATTGTGAAAGAAAATCTCTGAAAAATGAAGAAAAATAGGAAGGAAAACAGTCATCCATATTCCCACAACTCCAAGACAACCATAGTTAACCTTTTAATGAGTAAAAATAGAAACAGAGAAAGACAGACACATACTGACAGAACATCTTTCTTTCTGTCACTGTTCGCTTTTCAATATCAAAACAAAGAAAATATGAATAAATATTTGATTTCCCATGCCATGAGTTTCCCCAAGTTATCCCCCACAATGGGTATAATTTCTTTGTGTTTCTTTTCTCCTTTTATAACTTTAACATAAACATTTTAAAATATACAAAGTATATTGTCATATAAATTATTTATCTTGGTTAGCCATAACTTCTTTCCTCCAAATTGTTAGCCAGTTAAAACAACATGCATTAAATAACCCACCCTAAACCCCACTGGTGTACTACTGTTACTTTTATCAGATGTAGTACTAGGTCTAAATACTGTATTAAAATGGTTCTCTTTCTCCCAATCAACTCTCTGGTTTGGGCTTTTTCTTTTCTTTCTTTCACTGATTTATTCAACTATTTTGGTACACTTGTTTTCATCACTCTGTTTTTTGCTACATGAACTCTGCTCTGTGATCCTTTGATTGTATTTGAATTTTATGTTATATCTGAAATAACATAATCACATTATGTTAATGTGATTATCTACATGAAAATACTTTCCAAACTAAAGCACAGTGTAAGAACTAGACAAAATGGTGCATTGGATTGGACAAGGAAAAAGAAGCATTCCTGTCTGAGGACTTGTTTGTGGCTCTATCTCATGCTTTACCAACTCCTTTATTCCCTATTGTGCTTGATTTTAAATTATAAAAGAAAAAGAAGGGAAAAAATACTGAGGGAATGAAGGAAGTGAGAATGTTATCACCACTTGGGCTGTTGGCATAAAATATGTTCTTGTTCTTGGTCCTGCATGAGTTCTTAGTAGACATCTAGTGTCTCTGATTTTTTTTTGAACTGCTTTCCTACTTTAAAAAAAATGCTTTCTATTTTGTTAGACTCTGAGCTGGTTGGTTAACATATCCTTTGGTTGTGAAGTGTGTGTTATCAACCCATTTTATAGATGCAGAAAGTGATCTAAAGAGGAGAGCAGCCCAGTCTAAGAAATACAGACACCAAGGCAAGTTCTGCCATATTTGCTTTTCTGCAGGAGTACTGCAAGGTTAAGAACACGGAGGACAGCACCTCCCCTAGTGTTTACATAGGATTCAAGGATAAGCTCTCGGGTATTTGCAAGGTCATCACGGACTCCACTGCGCACTTGGTCCAGTTGCTGCAGGACTACAAAGAAAAGCTCCAGGAGTTTGCTAAGGAAGGTGAGGAACTTTCTGGGCTGTGGGCTACAGATGTGATGGGGTAAGTTGATGGGGAAGGTGAAATCAGGGAGAGTGTCACAATTTTGAAGCCATCCTTCAGCTAGATCCTGTCACTAAGAAACACTTATCTTGATGAGTTTATTTGATGATTAAGACCCAAGAAGGTGAGTTAGTCACATCATGCAATTGTGACATGCAATTGTGACATCATGGCATTGCTGTGACAAGCTGCTGACATTGTTGGTGCCTGTACTTTCAAGTGAAATTCAGGAGAAGAATGCAGTTCTTTGAGCACGGTTCTCTGACACACGATGAGGGTCGGCCCCATTTCTCCCAGGAAGCCCAGGAAGAGTAGCTGAGAAGTCCTGCCTCTTAGAGTCTCCTTACCTCATGGACAGGTGTGCATTCAAAACTCTCTGGTTTTCTAGAGGAGTATGACATCAGAACTCAAGTGTCTGCCTTTGTGGAGCGCAAGTATCGGACCTCAAAACCAGACCCCACCACCAGACAACAGTTCTTGCAATGTAAGTCGTGAGTAGCTTCCCCCTCCACTGTGAGTGATGTCAGCACAATGCTTTGCTGAAGTAGGAATGCCATCTCTCTGAGACTGTGTTTCTTGCAAATTTGGGTCTATCCCACAATGGTACATTTAAAAAAATGTTTAGCTTTTCATTTTGAAACAATTTCAAACTTACAAAAACATTGCAAAAAGAGGCAAAGAACTCCTGTTCATCTAACTTCTGTAAACATTAATACTTCACATAACTACAGCATACTGATCAAAACCAGGTTGTGACAATGCTGCTAACTAATCTACAGAATTTAGTCAAGTTTACCACATGTTCCACTAATGTTCCTTTTTGGGCCAGAATTTTGGACCAGTGTTCCATGTCTCCTCAGTCTCCCCCAATCGGGGTTCATTTCACAGTTTTTCTTGTCATTTATGACCTTGGTATTTTTGAAAATCCTGCCTACTAAATGATTTTTATTTTATTTTATTTTTTTAAAGATTTATTTATTTATTTATACAAGCACTGGGTACAGTCAGAAGCGCCGGAGGGTGAGAGAATTCATCAGAGCCAGAGAGGGGAGTAGAACAGGCAGAGTGACGGAATACACTGCTGAGGGGAGCAGCGGGCGGCAGGAGAGGTCTGTGTGCCATGTGGGACCCTTGCTGGCGGCTGGGGATCGAACCGGTGCTGCAGAGGCTGCACTGCGGGCAGCTTCGCAGCCCAGCGCTCAACCTCTGTGCCACCAGGGGAGGCCCCTACTAAATGATTTTTTCATAGTCTTGCTTGACCAGAACTGTCTAACTCTTGTCCTGTCTAACCCTTGTCCTGTCATTATTCGGTATTGACCTAGTCTGGGAGCATTTAAAAAAAATGTGTTTCTAATCAAGACTTCATTATGGCTAACAAGTTCACAAAGTCCCGTCTCCCAGTAGAAAAAGGCTTGCGTCTGTGTAGTTAAGCCTCCCCTTTATACCATTTGGCTAATTTATCACTTTGGAACATGACTTTGAACCTTGTTTCCACTTGCTTTCTGGGAGTGACCACTGGCTGACTAACTCTTGTACCCCCCCTTTTCTCTAGTTATTATGTGGAGCCTCGGGTTCAGATGACTATCTCTTGTTGCCCCCAACTCCTGTTTTCCCCAGATCTTCTTGACTGCCACAGTTTTCTTTATTTATTCTTTCTGCTTCCTGACAGAAACACATTTATATTTTTATAAATAGATACAAGAAACCAAAGACCCTTTACTCTTACCATTTAAAGAAAATTAAATATATCCTATTATAGTCTCTTTTCTTTGGCATTACAAATACCTTTTTTCATACATGGTATTAACCTTTTCTCTGAGTCTTGTTATGGACTTTGAGCCTTTTATAGGTGCAGCTTGTTCAGCTATCAAGGGACTGAACTCAATTTGTTAACATGACTAATAGGAGCTACTTTTAAGCAGGCCTTTTTCTCCTTTAAGCACTGACATCCTGCCTTTGACATTCCTAAGAGTATCACTGCTTTCTGGCAGTAATAGAATGTTCCAGAAATTCAGACCCATTCTGATTTCCTTGCCCCATGATATGTAATCACCTACCTTCTTGAGCATCTTGGATCCCTGTAGATGACAAGAACAACATTATTGTCCAATATCTGGATGCTGAGGATTATCAAAGGACATGGGAGAGGGTAAAAGTGCTACTGCTGCTGTTATTGGGGCCACTTTTAGTAAACAGAGCTGCTGAGTAAATGCTTGTGATGATCCTTAGTTCACACTCAGTTTTGCTTTTGACTCCCTGGAATGTTATATCCTTCTTCCAAATGTGGTTTCATTGACTACTAAGAGTTTCTTTGACCTAACAGTAGTGATATCTGATGGGGGGGGGGGCCCTAGTCCCCCTAGTCAATTAAAAAACTACATTTATAGTAAAATAAAGATACTTTTGCTTTAAAACTGAAAAAAAATAGAAGAAATTTCTCTGACTTGGATACAAGCAATTTGGGAATTCTGGGTTAAATGAAGATCATTTTACTAACTTTTAATATGCAAATTCATTTGGCAAGTATATATTGAGCATCTCTAAGCGAAAGCCCTGGGATAGAGTCCCACTTGAAATGTGGAGCTTGTAGTTTAGAAGGAAGACAAGCATGGAGCAGACAAACACACAAATAAATTTTTAAACATTCTGATCAATACCATGAAGTCTCAAATACCAGGGTGCTCGAGAGAGACTGATGGGAGGCATCTAGTCTAGGTGAGGACCTGCCTGAGGACTTGAGCCCTTGGGAGCAATCTAAAGGATCAGTAGGAACCATCCAGACTCAGGTTAGGGTGATGAGCACATTGCGAAGGGAATGGTCTGTGCTAACATTGGGTATAGGGGTGTGGTGGGGTGTTTGGAATCTGGCCGTCAAGGAGGAAAGGAGAGGAGAGGACAAGTCTGAAAACAGAGGGAAGGGGTCACTGTTTCATTCCAAGGAGCACCACCCAAGGGCTTTCAGCTGGGGCATGTTGATTCCCCGTCACTTACACCTTGAAGTTAGTTAGTGCTATGGTTCTCTGGTGGAGAAGGTAAGGAAGGGGGTGAGAGAGGCCCATTGGGTGAGGAGCCAATGGCACTAGTGAGGGTGAAATTTGACTAGTTGCTTAGATGGAGGGTGAAGCAGTGGGCTACAGAGACATGGGTATAATCCACAGCACTTGAGGCTACCTGTGTGTGTGGTGGCAAGTGGGAGGTGAGGAAGAGGACAAAGAAATGTCAAAAATAAGTTTGAGAGGGCCTCCCTGGTGGCGCAGGTGGTTGAGCGCTGTGCTGTGAAGCTGTCCGCAGTCTCTGCAGTGTGGGTTCGATCCCGACCGGCTGACGAGAATCCCACATGGCGAAGCAGACCTCTCCTGTCTTGCCCACAGCTCCCCTCAGCAGTGTATTTCGTCAGTCTGCCTGTTCTGTTCCCCACTCTGTCTCTGGTGAATCCTCTCACCCTCCCGCACATCTGGTCTGTGCCCCGGTTCTTGTATAAAAATAAATAAATATTAAAAAAAATAAGTTTGAGCATGACTTGAGCAACTGAGTGCATGGATGTGCTAAGAAAAGGATATGTTTGGAGGGGGGTGTTTGAGAGCCTGCAATACTAAATATTAGTCAAATATTAAAAAAAAAGGAGTGAATAATCAAATGTGTATGAGTACTTATTTCCCCAAGCCCTTGCCAACACTGGCTTTGGGTGTGTTTGTTGAATGAATAAATGAATCAAAAGACTATTCCTTGACTCAGTTTAGTGCCTAATAGAGTAAGTACTAAGCCAGGCAAAGTTCAGAAAGGAAGAAAGGAGAGTACTGTGTTCTCTGTTTCCTTGTGTTCACACACCAGTTTTCCAAGGGGAATGGGAGATGGAGGTTTTCTCATACTCTGCAGCCAGCTGGATTTGAAGCATTCTGTCTGACTCAGCTATTCCTGACCTACTTTCCCTGCTTTCCGTATCTCCCTAGATGCTTGTGATATCACTTTCGATCCAGAGACAGCACACAGGTATCTCCGTCTGCAGGAGGACAATCGCAAGGTCACCAACACCACGCCCTGGGAGCATCCTTACCCAGACCTCCCTAGCAGGTTCGTGCACTGGCGCCAGGTGCTGTCCCAACAGAGCTTGTACCTGCACAGGTACTATTTCGAGGTAGAGATCTCTGGGGCAGGCACCTACGTTGGCCTGACCTGCAAAGGTATAGACCGGAAAGGGGAGGACCGCAACGGTTGCATTTCTGGAAACAACTTCTCCTGGAGCCTCTATTTTAATGGGAAGGAGTTCACGGCCTGGCACAGTGACACAGAGACCCCACTCAAAGCCGGCCCTTTCCGGAGGCTGGGGATCTACATTGACTTCCAGGGCGGGAGCCTCTCCTTCTATGGCGTCGCACCTGATGCCATGACTCTGGTTCACAAGTTTGACTGCAAGTTTTCAGAACCAGTCTACCCTGCCTTCTGGCTTTCCAAGAAGGAAAACTCCATCCGGATTGTGGATCTGGGAGAGGAACCTGAGCAGCCAGCGCCGATCTCAGCGCCCACCCCAGCGCCAACCTCTGTGGAGGCTGCACCCTGAGACTCCCAGACTTTTGATCTGTACTGTGCTATCCCCTATTTTTCTAGTCACTCTCAGGAATCTAACTCCTTTTCATCATCTAGTGATATTCTCCTGTCTGTCAGATGAAAAACCAGGAGTCTTCAGGGCAATCCAGATGATTCTGGAGCAATCATAATAAATTGCTAAGTTATTGCACATTTCCTATGACCCAGACATTGTTCTGAGTGCTTCCTGGCTATGAACTCCCTTAACCCTCCTAGTGGTCCCGTGGGGTAGATATTCACATCAGCCCCATTTTGCAGATGGGGAAACTATGGTCCTTGCAGTTAACTACCTTGTTCAAGGTCACCGTGGTGACACAGGGAGTGAGTGGCAGAGCCGGATTCACACCTGAGAGCTGACATTGGACTTTTAACTACTACCTCATGCTGCCTTCCTCATTAGATCATGGGTGTTTTGTAAAGGAGTAAACCACACGAGGAACTATATACCTGGAAACTGAGCGTGAAACCCTCCTCTCAGAGTCTGCAGATGTCTTTGCACCCCATGTCTCTTTGGGCCATGTAGCTGTGCAGGGACAGAGAGTTCATTACCTCACACAGCAGCTCATGTTGTTTTTGGACAGTGAGGATACAACACCCTGATGGGGTCCACATCTTATTCACCATGACCTCTGGGGGTGGGGGTTCCACACCTGGACTGTGTGGATATGCTGATTTCTCTTCAAAGGACAGTTCTTGGGAGGTTTGAGGGCTGTTCTCAGGCACATTCTTTGGGGAAGTATTTTTGTTTTCATATTGTATTTCTCACTTTTCTTACGGTTCCCAGGCCTTTCACCCCCTCACCATTTCATCCTTCTTTGACAGATGTGCTCCCCAAACCTTCAGGAAAATGACAAACTATCTTTATTTATTTTTTTTTTTAAAGAAGTCTCTCTTTTTTTTTTTTCTTAAGGATTTATTTATTTATTTATACAAGCACTGGGTACAGCCAGAAGCGCGGGAGGGTGAGAGAATTCACCAGAGCCAGAGCAGGGAGCAGAGCAGGCAGAAGGACCGAAGTACACTGCTGAGGGGAGCAGCGGGCGGCAGGAGAGGTCTGTGTGCCATGCGGGACCCTCCTCTGGTGGCCAGGTAGCAGCCAGGGATCGAACCGGTGCCGGGGAGGCCTCGGGCAGCTTTGCAACCCAGCACTCAACCTCTGCGCCACCGGGGAGGCCCGACAAACTATCTTTAAATGGGTTTCTGCCAGGTCTTTTCCTGTGTCCTGCCCAAGGCAAGACTTTCTCTTTGAGTCTGATGGTCTATTTCAATAATACATTATTTCAGCATCACTAGGGGTCCGGCCTATGTCTATATCCAAGGATTCATACAGTATAGGATTTAAATTTTGTATGGATTTTCAAAATTTAAATTTCATTGAATTTATATTTTATTTGAATTCTGGCTTCATCACATCACTGCTGTTTGCTGAAATAGTTTTGATTCATGGTTCCACATTCAAAATATTACTTCTCCTTCCTAGCTTCATGTCCAGTGGCAACCTTTTTCTTTTTACATCTTAATCTTGATCAATATATTGATTAGGTAGGGCCCAATACAGCTCTCAGCCAGTCCCCTTGGGTTGCTACCCCACATGCGCTGGCAGAAAGATGCAGTACTGGAGCTTGCCTTTTGCTCTTTGTCCACAGGACCCAGTAAAGGATTTTGTCAATGGCAGAGATCAAGACACTCTCTGTCTACATTTCCTTACTCTGCCTGTTTCATAATGTGCTCATCTCAAAAGAAAATGAGACTGGCTTGGCCTGTCTTGTGTTCCTTGAACCCCTGTGGGTGGTTGGTTCTGGCTACTTCATGTTCTAAATGCTCACAAAATATTGATAAACCATGTTAGAATTCAGCTGTGTGTTAATATCAGATTTATTAGTCTGCTGTTTGCAGAATCTGCCATATTTTCCTTTTGGAAAGCCCAAGACAGTTTTGCCTGTCTTCATCTGCTGTTCTCCCCAGTTTCTCAGTTTTTCAGTCAAGGAAAATTGTGCCTGTGGGGAGAAGTGTTTGGGTCAGAATACTCATGTAAAAGGAACTCTCTGGGTGTCTCCTTCCCTCTCTTTAACTCTGTTACTCTGTCAGCTCTTTTTTGTCTATTCATTTTCAGTTTCAACATCTTTCTTCTTGTTATGAAAGATCAAAGTAAAATAGAAAGTTAGAAATATTTACTTTCTTTCCGTATTGTTTCACATGATAGGCATATCTTTATTTTTGCTTGCCCCCAAACGGAAATTTGCTTAAAACAAACAAAATCTAAAAAAGAGAACAAAGACCTCTGTTATATCACCGGTCATTTCCCCCAGCTCTGTGTGCCAGTCTTCTGTATCTACCCAGTTATTTCCTCTCCTATTATGTAGACTCATTTTGAGAAAACAAAAAAAACAAATCTGAACTCATCAGGAGTAACTTCTAGGGTCAGATTGTTTTGTTCCATTATTAGACCACTTTGACTGCAGAGTCAAAATGTAATTTTAGCCTCTGTATAATTTATTCTTGTCTCAACTTTTTGAAACCTAAGGGCATAGAATGTTTCAAGAATGTTCTGAATTTTGAGTAAATTCCCACATTATGTCAAGATTCACGATGAAATGTTGAGCTAGGAATGATAGGAATACTAATCCAATCATGTCTCTTTATCCTGGTTCAGCATGTTTTTGGAGTGACTTGTCATTAAATCAAATCCACCCCACATAGGTGGCATTTATAACATGCATTTCACTGTGCTAGGACTAAGATATAGTGACCCTGAAGATAACTAGCTATGTCTTGGGATCACAAAAAGTTGATTTAAATTGAAGTAAAAAGTGTTCCTATGTGAAAAGTTAAATTTAAGACAGCAATAGCTGAGTCACTATATGAAATGGATTCCTCATTTCCATGTCCTGGTGCATGGCTTCTAATTTAACATATTCTTGGTCTATGTTCAGAGACTGAGCTTTGTACTGGGTTGCTAGCTGATTTCTGCACCTGATTGCTCCCCATCTCCACAGCCAACTGTCCCTGCTCCAGGGGCTTCCACTCTAGCCCCATTAGCCTCAGACAGAAGGAAGGAAGGGTAGCATACACATGTGTTGCTTCTAGCTCCTCAGACTCTGGTGCTGACTCCCTCCTCCTGCAACCATAATGAAATATCTTGACAGCAGGCAGGAGGCCCTTGCAGGGGGGTTCACTGTACACGTGTGTCAGGCATCCACATGCTGGAGATAGTTCAGGTAGAGTGACGGGCCATCCAGGCTTTGCTGGGACAGAGCCAGTCTTTTATTTCTGATCTGCTCTGTTGAGAAAATTCCATGGTCTCCCCAAAATAAGGAGGGCAGGAACTGGAAAAGAAGAAACGACAGGTCGTCTAATGAGGACTGAGGGTCAGCATAGCAGTGTCCAGTCACTAAGGTTCAGGTTATTTGAGGAAATTTCCCTCCAATTAATAACTTATGTGGTGAGTATGGTGAGTATCTGAAAAAAGTGTGTGTGTGTGTGTGTGTCTCATATCAAAATTTTTAAAAAAAAATTTGTCACAAATTGCAATTAACCCTTATATTCTCTCGTATATATTGAGCTATGGCAATGCAGTATTCAGTCTTTTCAAATTCTAACGTGTTCTCCAGAAGTTTAAACTTTTATTATCCTTCTGTTCCACTCACGCTTCTCAGACCCCTCTCTCTTCCTCCTGCTCCATCTTCTATTCCAGTCAGCTTAAAGTTTACTTTTGAAATTAAATTTTATTTCCCCCTGTTACACTTTGGGGCCCAAAGGACTATGGTGGCATCCATCTCAGGGTATGATCCTGTACCTCTCAATCGTGTACAGTGGTGTAAACCAATTAACCTCAATAAAAAAGGTCACTGGCCACCCAGGCTTTGCTGGGACAATAAAAAAGGCAGCAAAACTTCTGCCCACTTGTGCCTATGCAGTTGTTCCTCTTCAACATTCTTCTCCCTGGCAGCAGCTCTCCTGCCTACTTATGACCTGTGACCATGCTAATGCTCTCTTCACTGACCTCCACCCTTTGCAAAGAAGCAGAGGCAGCTCTCCTCCCAAGGCTGCCCGCCTGTGACTATGCAGGCCTCCCTTTTGACAAACCTGTCCCTTTTGGGAGCTGCTCTTTCTGCCCGCCTGCTTGTGTCTATGCAAGTGTCCTTTATTCTTCTCCCCCTTTTCATAATAAACCTGCCCTTTTGAATATTAAAAAAAATAAAAATGTTTGAAAAACCCAATGAGCCCCACCCTCTTTCTGAGGGGTCAGTATTAACTGATAGCCTTGGGACCCCCCTCTACCTCCTGTGCCCCCTGCCCCAGGCTGTGTGCGCTCACAGGTTTGGCTTTAATGGCCCAAGTCATCACTTCTGGATGGATCTTAAGTCAAAGTTAAAGGGTAAAAAAATTCACAAAACAGGTAAGACATTTCCATGTCATTTTTCTTTTAAAAATCACACATGCGCTCATTATTTATTCACGTGCAGTTGAATGTATGTTCACACATTTAACGCACGTATAGATGCTGGAGTGTACATCAATTATTGGGTTGCCCAGGATGAGCCAATGACAATAATGATGATGACGTAAGTTTTAGCATATATGAGGTCTTAGTATGTACCATGCAATCTCTTAAGTGCTTTGCATATGGTATCTCATTTAGTTCTCACAACAATTTTGTGAATTAGGAATTACTGTGTCTTCATTTTACAGGTGAGGAAGCTGAAGAATAGAGGATTAAGTAACACATGTCCACAGTGCTGGGCTGAACCCAAATCCTCACACTCATCACCACTAAGCTGTACCTCCTCCAGACACATGGGTGAGCTGGTGTCCTCCAGACATATGTGGTTGAGGCTGGAGTCCCAGTGAATTTTTTTCTGATGACTGGTTCCCTGCGGAGGTTTCTGGTTAGTATTCTCCAGCAGTTAAATAACTTAAAAGTATATTAGACATTTGTATTTTCACTTTGATAGTGAGTTCAGAAAATGAGTATAAATATTCAGAATCATTGCAGTAGTTACCTTGTAACCAAACAGCGATAAACATGAGACTTTTACATCTAATTTTACATTCACAGCTATTTAATGGTCATTAATAACAAGTTGACACTCAACACTAGGCTCACAATATCCTTTAAAAGGGGATCCATATATTACTTAAACTTGACTAACACAGTTCTTGTTAGAAACGAGATGACCTGCTCTTTCAGGATATACAGCAACTGCCTTCACATGAAGTGCTAAGTTTAGGAGATTTACGGTAAAGCCATGTTTCCTAGGAGGTCAGTACAAAAAGCCAGTCTTCTACGGGCAGTTTCTGGAGAGATAAGCTTTCCATCCATCACAGCCGTTTATTTTCACTTTGGGAGATGTTTATAACAGAAAAGGCTCAATTGGGATATTTATCAGCTTTTCCTGTTCCTCTGGTGTTTGGTGGGGTCGACAACGGGCAAGGATAAAATGAACTGGTCATCTCAAGATCATGGAAAACCTGGACTTGAGGCTCAGGAGTGCCCCCAATTTTCGTTGTGAGAAGGCAAATGATTCTGTCCCTGTGTGCCGCAAGTGTGAAACTTGTATCTTGGCTTGGAAGATCTTCTCTACCAAAGAGTGGTTTCGACGGATCAGTGAGAGATCACAAAGGAGGTTTTTGGTTAGCGTCCTGATGCAGTTAGATAGCTTGTATTTGTTACACTACTTTCAAAATATTCTTCAGCCCACACAGGCGAAGGACTTCATCTACAGCCGTTCTCGGATCATCTTCAGCAAGAAGGAGGGGAAAGTTGTGAAGTCTTCCTTGAACCAAATGTTGGATAAAACAGTGGAAGAGAAGATGAAGGAGATTTTGTACTGGTTTGGGAAGAGCACCCACCGAACTAAAGCTCATTACACACTTTTGCTGCTGCAGATGTGCAACCCCAAATTACTGCTCACTGCTGCCAATGTCATCAGAATCCTGTGTCTGAGAGAGCGGAACAACATTGCAGGTAAACAAGACCACAGGTAGAGAGCGACCAGAGGGCCCCTAAAGATAGGAAGCGAGACTTCAGTAGCCTATAAAGGAATGAGAGGTGTGGACAAGCTTAGACTGGCGGGCATTTTTCAGTGTGTAGGATAGAGGTCTTTGTCCTGACACCCGATCTTGTTTACCAAAGGAGAAATTGTTGAATATGACTTCCTTCTAGAAAATTATCAAATGACAAATGCAGAAGGAAGTACATTTAATGTCAAGCATTTAAAATGGATTTCTACATCCCTTAGGCACAGAAATGGCTGCTCTGTGACTACTACTTAATGCTGGTGTGGTTCCTCCATAAGTAGTTTAGAGATTGAACTTGGCTTGGCACAGATGTAAGGGAGAAGCGACTGAATAGCTTTGCCCTTCAGCTTGCACTGAACAGAAACCAGGCCAAATGGTCAAAACCTTGGGCCTTTTTAAAATTCATTCCACCGTGTATTCCTTGCTTGCACGTAAAGTCAACCTTGAAGTTGAGTTTCTCCAAAGCCGGAGATCAGCAAAAGGGCCAGAAAAAATCTAGGGCAGTAGTTTTCAAACTTTAGCTTGTCTCAGAATCCTGGGAGCCCAGATGACTGGGCGCCTCTCACAGAACTTGTGACTCATCAGGTTTGAAAAAGGCAAGATTCTGCATTTTTAACAAATTCCCAGCTGACGCTGATGTTGCTGGTCTGGAGACACCACTTTCAGAGCCATTGGTCTTTCATACAGTGAGAGGATCTTGGTAATATCTGTTCAGCTGCATCAGGAAACAAAACAAACCAGAGAGGAGGCAAGATTGGAGATTACAGAGGGGTCCAGGAGTAGATGGTATAAGAAGCACAGGTTTGCTGGGGCTGGGGTAAGGGTGGGAGAAGATCAGGGAAAAGCTGTCAGAGGGAGGAGTTTCAGGAGTTCTTAAAAGTGGGGAATACCAAATATCCATGCCACCTGATATGTGGTGATAGACTAATGGAATCCAAAGGAATTTTAAAATTAGATGGTATAGGGAGAAATTAGATAGTAATATAGGCCACATTTGTCTCATTGGTGTGTCAGGCAAGTAAAAGAATGATAATCTGGAATGAAAAAGCAGTGAAAAGAAAATCAGAGAATCCTGTACATTAGTTTAGAGATTAACTATTCCAACTCCTTAATTTTATAGACGAGGAAACCAAAATTCAGGGAATCTGGGTGACTTGGTACAGGTTACCCAGCAGGAAAATTGAAAACCAGGTTTCCCCCTCTAGCCCTCCTGAAAAGGGTACAGGGGAGGGCAGAACACAGTAGGCCTTACTTATACACACACATGCAGTATTCTGAACTTCATCACCCATCATAGGAATCAGCTACTTATATTGAAGTTGTGTAAGTCCAGTTACAAGTGTGGCAAGCTTCCTCTTATCCTAGGAGAAAGTCTCTTAAAAAGTTAAAATATTATACAATCTTCCCTTGATGGACACTTAAGTTCTTCCTACATCTTGGCTATTGTGAAAAATGCTGCAATGAACGTAGATAATATGATTGAAACTTGAGGTGTTATGCTAAGTGAAGTAAATCACAAAGAGAGAAACAAATACTGTTTGATTTCACTCATATAAGGAATATAAGGAAACAAAGCAAATGAACAAAACAAAACAAAACAAAAACAAACCCGTAGATTCTGATAACAAAATAATGGTTACCAGAAGGTAAGGTTAAGGGGTGGAGGGAGGAACAGGCAAAGGGGAGGCAATTGTATGGTGAATGGTAACTAGACCTTTGCTAATGAGTGTGGAATGGTACATTTGTGGCGTTATAAGGCTGTACACCTGAAACGTATGTTATTGAACATTAGTGGTATTTCAATTAACAAAAGTTATGGTTTCTAATTTGACCTAGATATGGTTATTCATATCATTGAAGGCAATTGAGCAAGAGTTTTAGAAGAGCAGTCATATTCTACCTCCTGCCTATAGCTCTCTTACTCTCTAATATATAGAGCTCTAATAAATGTCACATTTTAAGTGGGCTGGCAAAAACCCCTCGGGGGGAGTTCTGAAAAGATGGTGGCAGAGTGAAGATGCCAGGCTCATCTCCTTCAGATACTCACAACTAGATTGCAGTACCAAAGCCAAAACCAAACCCCAAACCAAAACCCCCTGAGGGAACAGTGAATGACTGTAGCACACAATAGGAGCAATGGTCCAGAGGAAAGGGGTAGGAAAAACTGTAAGTGAACTTTGTTTATAGTAAAAATGGGGCAGTACAACCCATAAGAGGGAGGGATAACTTCTGTGCAGAGCCCCATACAGTTGTTGATTTGTCAGTGACTCTTGAAATCCAGCACTGAAACCCAAGGGGTGCACATCTTGCCACCCAGGACAGAGGATATGTTGTTGGAGAGTTGTGGGGTGAGGGTGCAGAGTGAGGATTATTGACTTAAGCCTGAATCAGAAGGGAGAAAGTCAGAGCACCTGGTCTCCTCAGAGAACAGGCAACACTTGCCCCAAGGCTGAGTTATACAAAACCCCTGCCACCCCAAGGTCCAGGGCTAAAACCAAAACAAAGGAATGCTTGAACAAACTAGAGTTCAAGCCCCTGTCAGTAACAGGAGCAGTCACTCCAGGATACAGTTCTGTGCTGGAAAAGAAAAGAGAACAACTCCTGACCTGTGACCTGATATCAACTATGCCACATCTAGTGCTTAAAAATAGCCTGGAGTGGAAGTGAACATGAGACTGTCAGAGAAACTGAGACTGAGGAGCTGGCCTGGAGGAGGCAGGGTCACTGTGAATCCATGCCACACAACTGGCACCCAAAGCACAGTATAAAGTTTACTGGAGGTGATCCTTTGGTACCCTACTACCCCGATCCTTTGTTATACCTACTAGCCTTTGTCAGTACTAGTCCTCAGATTACTTCAAAAGGTGCAAAGACAACAGTCTGAAAATCTATTCTTATTAAAATCCATAAAAAAAACCCAAAAGAATGGAAAGAGCACACCACGAATCCTGGAGCAAAACAAAGCCAATCAAAAAACCCTCAGAGGAGCTCCAGCCCCACAGAATTGTATAACATGACAGAAGATGAGCTCTAGGTAACAGTTCTGACCACACTTACGGAACTCAAAGAAACAACAGAGGATATAAAACAAGAGAATAAAGATAAAAAAAAATATGAGACAGCTATGATTAGAAATAATGGTACTAAAAATGCTATTGTTGATTTTAAAAATATAATTGAGGGCCTCAATAGAAGACAAACAGAAGCAATGGAGAGAATGAATGAGCTCAAAAGCCCACTTGCGCGTTGTAGATCACAGACAGTACAATGTAGGAAAAAAAAGAATAAGATAAATGAAAAGAGTGTAAGCGCCCCTTGAAACAACTTAAAGAGAAATAATATTTGTATCATGGGGGTCCCAGAAGGAGAAGAGAAAGGCATAGAAAACTTATTTAAAGAAATAACTGCTGAAAATCAACTCAATCTGGAAAACAAATCAGATGTTGTGATCCAAGAGGGCAAAAAAATTTCCCAACAAAATAATACCAGACATACACACATCAGGACACATTTCAAGAAGCTGTTGAAAAGCAATGTCAGGGACAAAATATTAAAAAATCAAGGGAAAAATGAGTAACCTATAAAGGAACACCAATGAGACGGTAGACTTTTCAGTAGAAACACTACAAGCACAAGGGGACTGGGAGGAGATATTTGCAATACTTAAAGAAAAAATTTCCAGCCCTCAATCCTTTACCTACCAAGATTAACATTCAAGACGGAACAAAAAGTAAGGCGCTTCATGTAAAAGGAAATCTAAAGTGATTTATCAACACTAAGATGCACATGAAAGGAATTTAAAGGGGTAATTATACAGCAACAGACCAATAAATATCGAGGCAACAAATACCTAAATCACTCAACATGAAGGTGGAGGGGAGTTACTACGTGGCCTATCAGAACAAGTCAGAAACCAGACTGCCCAATGGGCACACAAATACCCCATCATATTACTAACCTCAGTAAAACCTTCAAACAAAAATTAATAGGAGTAATGGCACACATGAGACAATGGAATGTAATCAAAACATAACAATTCGTTCTCAAAAAATAAAAATGAAAAGACAAACAAAAACCAAACAATTGTCAATTGTTTGTCTGCTAACAAAATAGCAATGAGCACTTATGTCTCTACAATCATCTTAAAAATAAATGGCTTGAATTCACCAGTGAAGATATAAGTGACTGAATGGATTAAAAAAAAAAAGTTCAGTCACTGTTGTTTACAAGAAGCCCACCTTACCAATAAAGAGAAACACAAATTTAGAGTTAAAGGCTGGAAGACATACAAGCAAATGACTACCAAAAACAACAACAAAAAAACCCAAAAGACCAGGAACAACTGTACTTATATCTGATAAAATAGCCTTCTTATAAGAAAGGTAACAGGAGACAGATAGGGACACTATTTTATGATTAAGGGTCTAATACAATAAGAAGGAATAACACATAAATAAACATATGTACCAAATGATGGAGCACTGTGATAATAAAACAATAACAGAATGTAAGAGAGATATTGATAACGACCAATAATACTAGGGGATTTTAATACTCCACTTACAACAACTGACGGCAAAACAAGGCAAAGAATAAATAAGGAAATAATCTCAAGTGAAAAGTTAGACCAAACAGATATAGCACACATTTATAGAACACTCTACCCCAAAACTGATGCATACACATTATTTCAAGTGTGCATGGAACATTTTCCACAATATGCCACATCTTGGAACATAAGTCAATTGTCAAAAAACCCCACAAAGGTTGAAATTATACCCAGTATTCTCTCTCTGTGATAATGACAAAAGTTAGAAATCAACTATAAGGAAAAAAAATAGAAGACTATGAATACATTGATATTAAACAACATGCTGCTTAATAGCTATTGGATAAAAGAGGAAATCAAAGCAGAAATTAGACAATACATTGAAATGAATGAAAATG